ATCTAACAAAGAAATAAAAAAAAATACTTAACCAAATAAGAGGTCAAAGAGACAAAGACTCAAAGTGAATAACAAATTAGAAGAAAAATAGGAATTTTATTTCATTTAAATTTGAATGATAAAAAGCATACAATGGTTGGATGAATGAAATATTAAAATTGAAAAATTATGTTATTAAAAAATATCAAATAAATTAAATAAAACTAAAATAAAATTTACAATAATTTGAAAAAAATGCTATACAATTATTGAGTATACAAAAAATATTGACTTCATCATTTTCTCCTATTGTTCTTGACTTTGATCATCTATTGAAGTGAAACATCAGGTGTAGTGTCATGCCCTCCTTTGTCTTGTAATCTATCTTCAACATCTAGCCAATCTATAGAGCATATGCACATCCTAGACTTTCATCATTCATACAGTTTCTCTTGTCGTCCAACACCCTAGTACCTAAACTAAAAAAAACTCCAATGGAACTGTAGACATCGGACGGGTTAGTAGATCACGTTCCATGGCGGCGAGAACTAGTTAATTTTTTGCATGTTCACTCCACCAGGCTAAAATATCAAAATTATTTGTTCCTTCCGAGGTGAATGAAGAATTACCTAAAGTAGAAAATTTTGCTTGTAAATAAAAATTAAGTTCAATAAATGAACTTGTTGTTGAGACAGTGGATTTCTGGCTCTTACTTATTAAATAAAAAAGTTTTTCTCTTCCACTAATAATTCATTATTGCATCATAAAAAATGTCTCTTATACAAATTGCCATTTCCTAGTCTTCCTCAAATATAATATAAGTAGGCATTTTTGCATTATAAAAATCACTAAGAATTTGTTTGTGAGAAATACAACTTTCTAACATAGCATAGGCAAAGATTAAAGTATCGGGTATCATATCGGACCACTCGGATACGAATACGGATACGCTTTGGAAACACATGGATACAAATGAAAAAATATAGATACGCCAAAAAATGCATATAAATTCCATAAACATACTAATAACATTATTTTTAAGACCAAAATATCCATAATTAATGTATAGATACATAGAAAATGTATATTCTAAAGGTATATATATGAAGAAATATACTACAATTAATATAGTAAGATGCATAGAAATCATACAATTTTATTGATGTTGTATCAATCAATAATCCTAGAACATATTATATATATATATATATATATATATATTTAAAATTAATATATGCACAAAGCTATTATTATGTTATTTTCTATTGAATTTCAAGGCACAAAACATATGCAACTATTATATATGAATTATTATATCGATTATTTTCTATTTTACTATTTTTAGTTTTTAATATTAACCAAAAGTCAACTAAAAATTAATTCTCAAATGTTTAGTTAACAATATTTTTATTTTTGTAAACAATAAACACGCTATTATAAAATGTATTAAAATATAAATTAAAAATTTATAATAATATATAATATTAACTCAAAATAAATCAAATATATTAAATTTTCTAAGATACACATCATATGAAAATTCATAATTTTTAACTGCTAAAATAATTATTCCATTATTAATATTTTTATTTTCACAAATTTTGAGATAAAAAAATCATTTTTTGATATAAATGTAGATTAATGGATTTGATGAATTCAATTTATATTATATTCTCGAGGTTTTTGTAAATAATATTTTTTCCATAAATAATATATATACTTTTATTTAGTTCAAATTAAAATACTAATTAACAATTTATAAAATTTTAAGATGCATGTCATGTTCAAATGTATAAATATTAAGTACTAAAATAATTACTATTATTAATATCTTTTTTCGTATAAATTTCTTGAGATAAAACAAATTTTTGATATAAATGTGGATTTAAGAAATTATTAATTCTATTAGTTTATAAAATATTACTTTTGAATACTATTTTTTATTTTACTGGAATTGTTAAACACAAATGTAATTTTTTTGCATTACATGTGGACACTAGAATAGAAAAAAAGTTATTTTATTTCATTAAGTTTCATAAAATGGAAATTGGCTTAGTGGATTAAGCGCGCACTTAAGGCTTGAACATTGGGTGATTTGTATTTGAATCATGTCACACACATTTTTTTACAAATAAACACGCACACGCAAGAAACACGTCAATTCATATCAGCCGTATCACTGCGTATTGCTCTAATACATCACGATATGGGTCGATATGAAGGCATATCTCTCCGGTACGTGCGATTCAGGGGATACGGGTTTAGTCGTAGAGCATCCCGTATCCCCTTTGGCCGATACCGATACGATACGCCCCGTATCGGATGTATCGTATCGATATTTAAATCATTGAGCATAGATAGAATTCCATCTATGTTTAACATCTAATATAAAATGTTTATATTTTAAACCATAATTTTGACATAAATATTTAAATTCTTATTTTTTTTGCTATAGAACTTTTAATATATATAATACAATTTCTAATTTTAGAAATATGAGTAGAAATAATATTTAAAGCATCCTGGATACATAAATTTAAGATGTGACATGCACATCTGATATGAAATAATTTACCATTTAAACATGGTTTTATTGAGATTTTAAAATTTTATTGTTAAATCATTATTACTAGCATTATCAAAACTAATAGAAAATAGTTTATTGTTAATTCCATAAGCATGTAAAGTATTTAAAATACTTGCAACAATAAATGGGCCATTATGTGGCCATTAAAGCCTAGTAAAACTTAAAATTCTTTTATTTAAAAGCCAATTTTCATCAATAAAATGACCAGTAAAACAAATATAACTTATGTTAAATTTAGAAGTCCAAATATTAGAAGTAATTGCAACTTTAGAATTAAAGTTTGATAACATATAAATTAAATTTTGTTTATATTAATAAATTTTTTTTAAAGCATATGATCTAATAGTATTCCTATACACTTTTTTAAATTATGGATTTCCAGAAATACATAGCCATTTTTCAAGTTTAATATTTTTAGATAACAAAAATGGTTGTTCAACATGTACAATATATTTTTCTAATTCTTGCCTAATTTTTTCTTGAAAATATTTAAAGTATAAAAAGCCCCCATCCAATTTGTGTTTGTGTTGTTTCTCTCCCTTCTTCTTCTTCTACTTCTTCATCTTCTTCTTCTTCTTTCTCATGGGTGAGCAAATGTCTACCCAAATGGTCAATACCACTTTTGCTACAATAAGTAAAGTCTTTCCTACATTTTTGGCAAACAACTCTTTTCACTTCCCCTAAACCTTCTCTACTTTTAAATATTTTCTAAACCGAGTTAATCAACTAAGTGGCATTATTTTTCTTTCCCCTAGTATCAATACTAGGGGTGGAAGTTCCGTCAATATAAATAGCATCATTTTTTTTTTAATTCTAAAAAAATAAAAATTAATTTAATTGCACTTACCTAGGTTGCCGGTTTAGAATCTCAACTTGATTTCAATGGTTGAAGCTTTTCAACTCAAAGAGTCCAAGGCTCCCAAATTGCTAGCTTAAGATACTTGAGCTATTGAGCAAGTCTTCTTCTTGTTGAAACTTCAATAAAGTTGAGAATTGGGGAATCAGAGAATGTATGAGAGATTGAGAGATTGAGACTTGAGAGAGTTTGAGAACTAGAAAAGTGATTAAGAGAATTGTTGAATTGGTGTGATGAGAACGGTGGAGGATAGGACTATTTATAGGAATTGAAAATAATTCAATTGCCCAAAATACCTTAAAAATTAGTAGTTTTTTAGTTGTTGGCAAGGGTATTTTGGTCATTGTAAAGTTATTTATCACTTTACCCAAAATGCCCCCAAACTAGTTGTTGGGGGGCATTTGCATCATTCTTTCTCCCCTCCAAAACCAAAATACATAAATACCCCCTATATAGTTGTTTATAGCTATTGGGGGGTTTTTCTATAACCCCCCCAAAAGCTGAAACTAGCCGTTGGGGACCGGGGGTTCATCGGGTGAGCCGGGCTTCGGGCGGCACCCCCCAATTTACACCTCTAGAAAAAGGTGGATAATGCCTCGACGTTCTTGAATGTTATGGTTAGGGTTTGCAGAGGTAGAGTCAATGGGAGCACTACTCTATTCGCTAATCAATTCAACGAGCGGGTGGTTGGTGTTCTATTGCTAGAATGAGTTCAGAGACCGAGCATGGCGATCAATGGACTGGAAGCGTCAGAAATGGCATCAATCTATTGGGGTCCAAGATTTTGACTACTACTATCTTTCACAAAGAAATGAAATGATAAAGGGCAAATTTTAAAAAACCCCATAAGGGGATGAGGGGGTGCTGATGCCGGTGTTCTATTGCTGCGTCGAGAGAATGGGACAATGGTAATATTGGGTTTTAAAAAAAATTTAAACGTTATGTGATGTTACATGTGTACAGATTTTGACAGAATATTAACCAATACTAACAACAGAATTAGAACTAGTCAATTGTCAGAAACATTAAGAATGATTTAAGACAATACAGTTTGTTAATTAGCTATACAGTAGAGATTTAAAAAATTTGCCCTTAAAAAAGAAAACCTCGGCTCCAACCAAACCGGCAAATTGGACCGGTAGGTTCCTATATTTGGGAGAGAGATTTTTGTAGACTACATTTTAGCACAAACAGTGAAACCACAGTAAGAATCAGTAATAAAACACTACTAATCAATCAAAAGTAAACACACCACACCAGTCTATACACATGAGGGAAACTTTGGTTAAGGGAGAGTTTTTAAACAGCAGGTCTGGAGTCGAGTTAGTGGTGGACTGGTGGTGTGGTACTGTTATAAACTTATGAGGCTATATTTGTAATTATAGAAAGTAATAGTGCCTTTGCAATATTTTCCAAAAATATATCAAATTAAAAGGGTCTTAGTCCGTGCATGCCTTTCCGCCCGCGGAGTTCCCGCTTTCCGTGTTCGTTTGTTTCCTTCTCTGAAATCGACGTCTTCGGACTGCTTCAATCCGATCACGTCAGAATTTGTCTCTGTAAGTCTCTTCAGATTTCCACTACTGTTTTCTTTTCAAACTCTTCTGAATCTTCTTATTTCCTCGAATTGATTGCTTCGTTTCCGTTGGATCCGCAAGTTTTTCCCATACTGGTCTTTGAAAATTGTTTCTGGTTTCCTGGTTTTCACCGATCTTTTGTCTTGTTTGAAACTGGTTCCGTGGATTAAGCGGAAGAAATCCCGGTGGAAATGGTTCTAGTGTTTTTGTTCAACTCTGTATTGCGTTTGGAGAGAACTTTGAACGTTTCAAACGTTTATGGTCTTATTGATAAAGGTTAGGTTTTGGGGTGTCTGCGTTGGGTATCAACGTCTTCAGAGTTCAGTCTTATGATATTTCGGGTTAGATTTTAATGGTTAATTAATTTATGTTTTTCTTTCTTGATGCATTTGCATTGGGTTTGCACTTTACATGCCCTTTTATTTTCACCTCTTATAAATTTTCTTTATTTTGCTGCCTGTGGCAATCGTTTGGCATTTTAGCTACTCTCTCAAATAATTAGCCTGCCGTTTCAAGTGTACCTGGTCTTTAAATATTTGGCTTTTTATCAGAAAAATAAACGGCTAAGGCGTGAGAGACGTTTCTCATAGTTCCACTTTTTTTTTTTTTTTTTTAATTTTTTATCCTGTCTGAATGGGGTTCAGCATTTCATTTGGTTATTTTTACATAATTAACTGTTTCGTTGATCTTTTAGTAAAGTAAGTACAAAGGACAAAAAAGAACTGAATGGTTTGCTTGATAAACGACTACACTGCTTTCCTGGTGTTATGCTAATCGCTACCCGTTCTCTGTTACAAAGAGGATAAACTGCTTTGATTTGAACTGTTTGAAACTCCGGCCTCCCTAGGTTATGCTAGTTCTTATCTTCTACTTGCAAGTGCTTTTTCCTTTTTGAAATTTCACCCCTATTTCAGAATTCCACTGACATTTTGATAATGAGGTTGAAATCTGATAAGAAATCTAAACTTTGAATCCATGATGTTAGATTAAATATGTAGACATAGCTTCAAAGTAGGAGGCCATCTACAGAATCCTTAAGCAGTAATCTGTTGCAAGTTGAAGGGGCTAGAAGGGCTAGGAGCAGAGCAAACAGGACATGGGTTGAAGTACTAATAAATGATTTAAGCACTCATAATTTAATAATGGATATGGCACTAAACAGAACGGAATGCCAAAACAGGATTCATGTAGCTGACCCCATATAGTTGGGATAAGGCTTAGATGATGATGATAAGTTTTCAAAGTCATGCCTTAGGCTTGCTTAGGCTCATAAGTGTGGCTCATTTTCTAGATTGTACCTTACCTGGCCTCTTATTGTGTTTTATAAATTAATATTGAATTTGTTGTTGAATGACTAATTCACTATATTGTAGGTTCTACTTTTGATGTTTGGAGCCAAAAAGGTGTAACCAATGTATGATTTGAATGTATAACACTATTACCTTCATGTAAATAACATGATGCTCTAACCAATTGAGCTAATAGGCTTTGTGGTAATTTTTCTTTTATTTTTCAGAATTTAGATTTTCATATTCTTGTATTATTAAAGGGGTGTTCTTCAATGTGAACTGTTTTTCTTGTTGCGAGTTCTAAAAGCATAACAAAACAAAACTAGTTGGTTTGAATACAAATTGGTTTATCATGTCCCATAAATCATATGATTTCTATACTACAAAATGTATTTTTGTTTTAAAAAACATGCATTTTTTTGAGACAAAAATCAACTAGTTTTTTGCTTTTCAAAAAAAAAAAAACACAGATAAGAATGCAGATTTGTTTTTTTTTTTTTTTTCTGATGTGGCAATTTCAAAAACAAAACATTCATGTTGCAGAACACCCTCAAAGTTCTAGGAAGCCCCTTGTGTTTTACTTGTGGTTCTTGTTTTTAAAACATTGTATGCGGGTTTCTTTTTTAAGAAATATGTAAAAGAACATGTAGAACATACCTTTACTAAGTTAATTCCATACTGGTTTTTGCAGATTATGGAAATAAGTACTAGTTTGCCATAAGTACTGAAGATTGATTAGATTTTGAGATCTTATGTTTCTTTAGAAGTGCAAACATCCAAGAATCACAATCTTCTGGAATAATGGAAAGCAAAGGTTCTAATGAGAAAAATGCAGTGGTCCCCCCAACTTCTGAAAATCCAGAGACGGATACAGGTGATCTTCAAAAAGAAGAGGAATTACAGACTGAAATGGAATCTTCAATAATCACTGAGGAACATTCCAATTTAGGCAACAGGCAAGGAGGAGAAGGCTCAAATGTTAAGGTTGAAGAATCTAGAGGATTGGAATCCAAAAGTCAAGAAGAGAAAAAACAATCTACCGGGGAGATTCTAAACGAGAAAAATGTGGTGGACTCTCCAACTTCTGATAGGCCAAAGACGAATACAGTTGATCATCAAGAAGAAGAGGAATTACAGACTGAAATAGAAGAGCCTTTAAAGGTCACCATGAAACATTCCAATTTAGACAGCGCAGAAGGAGGAGAAGGTTCAGATGTTAAATTTGAGGAGTCTACAGTATTGGAATGTAAAACCCAAGAAGAGAAAAAACAGTCTTCTGAGGAGATTTTAAGTGAGAAAAATGTGGTGGTCCCTCCAACTTCTGAAATTCCAGAGATGGATACAGTTGATCTTCAAAATGAAGAGGAATTACAGGCTGAAATGAAACCTTTAAAAATCACAGAAAAACACTCCAATTTAGACAACAAGGACAGAATAGAAGGATCAGATGTCAAGATTGGGGGGTCTAGAGGGTTGGAGTCTTTAAGTCAAGAAGAGAAAAAGCAGTCTGCTAAGGAGATTCTAATTGAGGAGAAAAAAAAAGATCCTGTCTTTGATGGAACTGAGATCCCTGAGAAGGAAGTTACTAGGAATTCATCTGCATGTGCCTCAAATGTTGATCCAGAGGAGATACAGGGATATGCTTGGCCTGCTGTGACACTCAGGAACTTTGTTAAGGAGAAGAAAGTAATTGGCGTCTCTACTTTTCTTAGTCAGCTTTTGAGAAAAAGAGATGAAAGGGAACAAAATCTTTCCTATGACAAAGATAAAAATGATGGCTCAGATAGTAACATGAAGGAAGAAGAGAATTCTTCCTCAGAAGCCAAAGCAAAAGAAGTTTCTCAGAAAACGGAGGGACAATCTTTATGGAATCCTTTAAGATATATTAGGATTGTACGGGATCTTGATACAGAGAACAAAAATGAGGGAAGGATAGATGTACGTGTAGAAGAATTGGCACAACCATTAGCAATGAGAGGGCGGATTATATTGTATACAAGGCTTGGTTGTCAGGATTGTAGAGAAGTTAGGTTATTGCTGCATTCAAAAAGGCTAAGTTATGTTGAGATTAACATTGATATCTATCCAAGTCGAAAGCTGGAGCTAGAGAAAAATACTGGTTCTAATGCTGTTCCTAAGGTGTTCTTCAATGAAGTCCTGGTGGGAGGGTTGTGTGAGCTTAGGACCATGGATGAGTCTGGAAAGCTTGATGACCTTATTACTCAAGAACCATCAGATGCAGCTCCTTTACCACCACTCTCTGGTGAAGATGACATGTCCAGTAGTGGGACAGTGGATGAGTTGGCTATTATTGTTCAGAAAATGAGAGAAACTGTTGTGGTTAAGGATAGGTTTTATAAGATGCGAAGGTTCACCAACTGTTTTGTAGGGTCAGAGGCTAGTTGGAAAGAGAAGAGGTTAGTTGCATATGCACTTTTAAGCTTGGGAAAGCCCAAGGTTAATGCACAGTCAAATAAGATATCAGGTTGCATGGCTGTAAACATGTCATACCTTTAGAGATTGAAGGCCCACCAAATTGATCAGTGTCGTCTAAGCGATATTCTATCACAAACTGACCTGATAAGGATGGTCCTCACATCCAATGGATGGCATTCTTATTATTATTATTATTTTGTTTTTGTTGCTAGTGGCAAGAAGGATAAGTCATTTGATCGGGTTAATATCTCCTTCATTAAAATCATGGATCTGTTTATTCTTCCATTCACCTTAAATTCTCAAATTTGTCATGCTGAACTAAGGATTTTCTTACTGGCTAATGCCCTTCAAACTTTGGTATTGTTGGTTATAATTGGGCTACAACTTGTATGGCTCAGAGAGTTCTATCAATGCTATGACTCTTTGGATGGATTTTGGTCATCTGCTTCTTAAGCTGGCTTTATTAATCTCATATTAGTGTCAAGTTTCATTAAACTTCTGGCACAGATCAATTTTAGAGGATAAAAACATGTTATTAAAAGAAGAAAAGGGTGTATCATGGGCTATATTAAGGGGTATACCTAAGATGGTCTATGTGGTGCCCATACTGTACATATTATCGATGCCTTTTTACATATTAATAGAGATTCTTCAATGTTAATGATAAAAAGAAGTTTTACTGAAGTTCTTGAACATTAATTGCTTAGTGTTGACTGTTGATTGAAATGATTGTTGAAATTTACAAGGGCATCTAGAACTTTGATGAGAGAATATCTGACTTTGATGAGAGAATAACAACCACCCAAAGAGTTGAAATTTTCTGTAAACTACTGGTTGGTTATGATCATTTGTGTGGATAATCTTTGATCTGTGAGATCTCTGAGTTGGAACTATAAAAGTTGAGTCTCCCAAGTCCATGCGTAGGTGCCAGATCTGATATCCATTTATAATCATGCTTAAAAATTATAATTGATAACACTAAGCCATACAATTGGCCTTCCATGCTTAATGAATTAGCCTGCTTGAACAAGTCAGGCAAGATGGTTTATTTCTGTCAAAGAAGGGGATATAAAGGCTCAGTAGTTTTCCTGTTCTATCTTTTTTTTTTAAGATAAATAAAAAAATACTTTATTAGAGAAAAAAGGAAAGGAAATTACAGCAGGGTGATAAGTAATTACCCAGCAATAGCAGACCCAAAAAAACAACAGACCTACCCTAACAAAACCCCTAAAAACAGAGAAAAAAACCTACAGATATACCAAAGCTCCTTAAGAAACTAATGAGAAAGATAAGGCCACTGCTGGACTTGCTCAAGAATAGAGTAGAAGCTGAGGCTTTAAATATCCAAGCTGAACTTGGGAATTTCACAATATCAAGATGGTGTCCAGGGTCAAACTCTAAAGATTTCTTTGTTGAATGGGGTGCTGGTGTGACTCTTAGGGTTACCTTTTCACTTGTGGAAGCAAGAAACTGCTGAAGCCATTGCTCTGATGTGTGGAGGATCACTAAGAGGTGTTTTCTGGGGAGACCTCTACTCAGCTTCCATTTTACTAAATGGAGTAAGACCTGAGGAGATACCTCAGAAGATAGAGGTGTGAGTTGAAGGGCAGTTTTACTCAATTTGGCTGGCTTCATCCATTGAAGCTGTGCTTTGGAAAGAGGCTCGTAGGGAGGGAGATGAGAAGGTTGAAGAAGAAGAATTGCATGGCAAAAAAGGATTGGATGGTTCAAACAAAAATAACACTTTCACTAAAATGGAAAAACAAAAAGGTAGTATTCAGGGGGAAGGTCTTATGCATGCAGAAGAAAAGAAAACAGTCTGGAGGGCGGCCAGACTTTTGCACAGGTTGTAGCTGGTGCCAATATGACACTTTTAAACAAGGAGAAGGTGTCGGCTCAGGGAAGAACCAAACCCAGGCATGATAAAACCAAACCGGGCAATGGGCTATACTTGTGTGACTTTATTAAAAGTCACGTGGAGTCGCAAGTCGTTAAAACTGGGCCAAGTAATAAGCAAAACCCCATTTTCTCTTTTGGGCCCGGTAATAAGCAAGGGGCCCATGGAAGCTTGCTAGGAAGAATCTTAAAGGAATCACGTGAGCCACTTAAAACTCACGTGTTCGATCAGGGGGGAGTGTTGATAGACAAGACAGTTTGTCTATCATCGTTGTCCTCTCGCCCTTTTGTTGGCTGCCGCTCCTCAGGAGCAAAATCGACTGGTAGCTGCTCACTACAGTGGACTCTAGTCAAGAAACAATCGAAGATCTCACCAGACAGATGGAATCCAAGGTGTGTAAAGCAGAAGGATCTGACTATTTTACAAGAGTGGGACTGGTCAGACGTGGAATCGAGTGAAGGTATTGATATGGAGGACATAGATAGTTTGGGTAGTGTCGATCTGCAAGACAAAGGGGATTTTTTTTGGAGGATAACAACCTCAATGCAGAAATTCTCTTTCTAGAGGAAAACACTTTTGGTGGAGGCGAGGTTGACACAGGTAGAAAGGCTGAAACGTCGGCTACAAATGCTGTGCAAGCTGGCTACACCTTCCTTAATCGAGGGAGCTAATCAAAGAGAGCAATACTATATGGGGATTGGCTTAGAAAGACAGGACTCCCTTAGGTTATGTGAAAGTAGATTGAGAAGGGAGATGCAGATACAGGGTTGGCTCCTAATAAGATCAGAAGGGGTTGCCAATCTAACACAAACCACTTCTCTACCTTGTCCAACCAGGGGGAACTCCTTGGCCTCAGCTGTTTTGTCCCAACCCAAAGGCCCTTGTTGTGCTACCTTGTCTGCTCTTCAGCTAGGTATGTGTGTCCCTTTGGTTTATGGTACTGACCTGTGTGTTGAGCCTTTTGCAGATACCCCAGCATCCTTTCAAGAAGAGGGTGGTGACAAGTCAGAGGGTGGAAAGGAAGGTCCTGGAGAGGGAAGTAAAGATACGGTAGGTTATGTTGTTAGAATTGGTAGGGAGGAGGAGATAGAAAGAATTTGGGGGTGGATTTGTTTGGATTTTGAGGAACGCAGAATTAGAGAGGGCTATGTGGAAGGGAGTTTGGGAGAGGATTGGGCTAGGAAGGAGGTAGGGGTTGAAGGAGACAAGGAGGGCAAAGGGGTAGGGCTAAGGCAGATGAGTGAAAAGAAATTGAAAGGGGGTGATTTTAATGGGGGGAAGGAGGAGATAAAGAAACATTGCAGGAAAAATGAAAAAATGAAGGAAAATAAAAAGAATAAAGGTCTGAGGTGGAAAGGTTACTTTCGGATATCGAGGGGGATCTAGAGTTTAGTGGAAGGGGAGATAGGAGGAAGAAGTCTAGGTAAGGAAAGGAGGTTGGCAAAAGAAGGGGTTCTAGAAAAAAACATTGATGAAAATATTCAGTTGGAATGTGAGAGGCTTGGGAAGTGCAAGGAAGAGAAGAGTAATAAAGGATCATCTTAGGAAGGAAAATCCAGATATTGTGATGCTACAAGAGACAAAATTGTCTGAGATAAATGCAAGATGGGTTAGAAGCTTTTGGAGGTCCAGGGGAATTGTGACGGTTCGGAGAAATGAGATAATGGAACTTGTGGAGGAATTGATAGGAAGATTCTTTGTATCTATCAAATTTAGGAATGTAGAGGATGGCTTCATGTGGGTAGTAATTAATGTGTGTGGTCCCATCTCCTACAGAGAGAGGAATGAGATGTGGGAGGAATTGTTTGCAATAAAAGGCTTATGGGATGGCCCATGGTGTGTGGGAGGGGACTTTAATGTAATAAGATTTTTAGATGAAAAAATAACCCTCATCAGTCAGTCACAACAAGTATGAGAAGATTTAATGAGTTTCTAGAAGATTGTGAATTGAAGGAGATTCCACTGCTACAACACAGATTCACTTGGTCTGACCTCCAAGAAAACCCTTTGAGCTTGAAATTGGATAGGTTCCTCTTCAATCTAACTTGGGAAAACCATTGGGGCAACTTGGTCTCTAGAGCTCTGCCTAGGGTCACTTCGGACCATTGGCCTATTAAGATAGGTGTAGAATCCTTTAATGTTGGCTCTAGACCTTTCAGATTTGAAAATATGTGGTTAACACATCCGGAGTTTCAGGGTAAAATGAAGGAATGGTGGGATGAAGAGCTAAGTGGGGTAAGATGGAAGGGTGTCAAATTCCACAAGAAGCTGTGAAGATTAAGATCAAAACTGAAGAGTGGAATAGAGATCATTTTGGAAGAGTGGAGGAGCAAAAGTCAAATATTATCACTCAAATTGAGGCTCTAGATGAGGAGTCCCAAGGGATTCTGATTGAACAAGAGAGAGAGAGCAGAGGTGACTGTTGAAGAAGGATCTAGAGGATGTGTTGCTAGGGGAAGAGACTTGTTGGAGACAAAAATCAAGGCATCAAGGGATTAAGAAAGGAGATGGGAATACCAAATTTTTCCATGATTTGGCAAGTGGACATCGAAGGAGAAACTTTATAGCCAAACTAGAAGTAGAAGGGAAGGCAATTATAGACCAAGAGGAGATAGCTAGGACCTTTATAAACCATTTCAAAAATTTGTTTGGAAGACCTTTGGATGAGAGGCTATCTCTGGAAGGACTGGATTGGCCAAGGTTGGGCAGTGAAAAGATTGCTAGTTGGAAAGAGGCTTTGAAGAAGAGGAGATTAAAAGGGAAGTGTTTTCAATGAACAGGTCTAAGGTGCCATGCCCAGATGGTTTTACAATGGTTTTTTATCAAGGTTGTTGGGAGGTCCTAAAAGAAGATCTTTGTGAGGTGTTCAAAGAATTTGCAGACAATCATGTAGTAAGTCCAGGAGTCAATGCTACTTTTTTGGCCTTAGTCTTGAAGAAGGTTAGTGCTATCCTCCCTAAGGATTTTAGACCTATAAGCTTGGTGACCGGCATCTACAAAATCCTAGCTAAGGTGTTATCCCTGACGATTAAAGAGGTCCTTCCTTCCCTAGTCAGCAAATACCAAGGGGCTTTTGTGCAAGGG